TTTAATTAAATGCCAACAAAAATACAGAGCCTTTTTTTTTAAGACATTCAATTCAGTTGTCTAAGACAGTTGTAAGTTGTATTAAAACAAGGTTTTTACTTTATATACATAATATATTAAGTATAAGTTTAAGACAGTTAAGTTATATTAAGACAATGTTTTAATCATAATATATATTTCATTTATTTGAATGGAAAGTTTTTTAGTTTGTTGTGGAACTAGACTAGAAATTACCTAATAAGGTTCTTATAACCTGTGTAATGTGTTTCTTTTATGAATTTGTATATTGGTATAATCATATCATTTCTATTCCTACAATATTATAACTAGCACTGACTCATAAGTTTGAGTCTCGAGTCACAAAAAAGGGTAAACAATTTTTTTATGTATTTGTATTAAGTTTTTTTTTTTTTTTTATTGTTATTCACCTCCGGGTTACTACCAGAAACATGGTAAGAATAGAACTCATAATTTCTCACTATGAAGCAAGCGAAAAACATATCCTACAGAAACAGCAACAGAACATCTAAATTTTAGACTAGATCTTAGTCATAATAAACAAAATATTTATTTAAATCAATACACACAAAGTGTTAGATGATATACACTCAGTCAGTATTTAATTTTCAAAATGAATCACTATCTCATGTTTCCCTAATTTCAGAGTTAAAAGAAAGAGCTGATTTTGGCCATAAAAGCCATTAAGGGTGCTGCAGTTGGGGAGGCTCTTTTTTATTTCAATTGTGGTTATAACCCCCACTCAACTCATTAACTCCGAAGTATTTTAATAAAGTACATGTCAAATATATTTGTGTGTAGTTTTTGTATATGATATGTGATATGATATAGTTTTTAAAATTGATATGTTATACCAAAATACATGCATATATATATATATATATATATATACATATATATATATATGTATATATATATATATATATATATATATATATATATATATATATATGATATATATATATATATAGTATATATATATATATATATATATATATATATATATATGTATATATATCGTCATAGTACTATCATTTACTTATTCTCTTATCTTTCTAACCGAAAAACTAATTAATCTTATATTTTAATAAAACTCATGCCAAGTTAAAATATATATTTTTTGAATGTTATATTTTTCTTCAATTTTTATGTGCAGAGTTAAAGTACTAAATTATTAAGGTGTTTAAAATCAGAACAAGTCGACTTAAATATACATAATTACATTATTTAATCTTTAACTTAAACTTAACAATAGAATATTTGAACAAGTTTACACTTAGAATTGGTAACAAAGGTTTTGCTCAACAGTTTGTGAGTTTGATTTTAATATGTTTAACATGATTTAGATAACAAAACCTGGACAATATATTTTAACGCCCAGCTTTTGAAACAGCAAAAAAATTTACAATCACTTTATTAAAATGAATCTAAATCATTTGCTGTTACAAATTATGTCATCCTATTTATTCAACCTATAAATATTTTTAAACATTTTAGATTGGTTGAAGCCTAACAAAATTGTGAAAAAACAATATTGAATAATTCTAATGTTTTAAAATTTTATTTCCGTTACAAAATTTAGTGAATAAAAATGATTTATATTTATGAGTTTGCCATGATTGCTTTGATTGAATCATGGCAAAATACTTATTCAGTTTTAACTGTTTATTAAATACGTTTGGGTCTTTAAGGCTTGACCTTGGTGAATGCAGTAAACAATATTTAAATAAGATCTTATGTGTAATACACTTCAATGTGCCTTTTTTATATTTTTTTCTTTTTTAGGCCAACTCTCACGTGTTGGCGTAAAGTTAGCAAAATATGTTAAGGACTTAATTCAGAGGTAACTTTAGTATTTGTTTATTTATATTTTTATTTGTTTTATGTATATTCAGAACATTGCAGGCATTATAAATAAATGCAAAGATTTTGTTGATTATTATTTTAATATTACTTTAAATGAATATACATATTGCTTGTGAATATTTATATAACACATTACCAAACTAATACAAATAGCTATAAAAATCATATCAATAGAACATTTTGAAGTATTTTTATTATAAAATTTCATTTCTTAAAAGTTAAAAAATGCCAAATTGAATTATGAAAATTGTCAAAATTTTTATAAAATATTTGTATTTATAATACTATAAAGTATCCATGTCAAAAGTGTTAAAAATATTATTAACAATATATGAATAAATTGTTATAAGTAACTATATATATATATATATATATATATATATATATATATATATATATATATATATATATATATATATATATATATATATATATATATATATATATATATATATATATATATATATATACATATATATATATAAATATATATATATATATATATATATATATATATATATATATATATATATATATATATATATATATATATATGAGTTTTTATATTTGTGCATACCGATAAACAAATATAAATGTATGATGATATATATATATATATATATATATATATATATATATATATATATATATATATATATATATATATATATATATATATATATATATCATCATACATTTATATATCTTATATATACATATATGATATATATATATATATATGTATCATATATATATATATATATATATATATATATATATATATATATATATATATATATATATATATATATATATATATATATATATATATATATATATATATATATATATATATATATATATATATATATATATATATATATATATGGTATATTTATATATATATAT